TAATAATAATAATAATAATAATAATAATAATAATAATAATAATAGCAGCAATCGTTCAGGATGCCACAGGCCTCCTTTTCAAAGACTACTTGCCAATTTCCTCCCCCCCCCCAAAAAAAAAGTCCAGTACTTTATTTATTGTGGAAGTGGGAAGATAACTTTATATCCACTCCTCCAGAGTAGTCCTTGAGCATCGAAGGGAAAGGCAAGGTGCGATAAATATGTTAATGAATGTATATTAAATAAATACAGGGCTGGCTCATCCATGCCTGCACACATCCCTCGACTCCCTAACACTGAGTTCAATTCAATTCAATTCAAAACCTTTATTGGCATCGATCAGAATCATAAACAGCCACCCTTCAATTCATGGGTTTAACACACAGCTTCCTCATTATGAGGCAGTTACAGAATTTAGCCACCGCTTCAATAACCTCCATATTTTGTGAAGCCAGTAAACGGTACAACATTCTGTCATCAGATTGCTTGACATCCTTCTTAAGAATAGCTTCTAAATAAAGTGCCCGAATGTCATCATGCAAACCACAATAGAGGAATACATGTTCGATTGGTTCAGTCTCCTCTGAATCACAATCACAATACCTAACAGAGTAGGGGATTTTCTTAAATCTTCCTGCTAAAACCGCAGAGGGGAGCACGTTGAAGACGGCCAGCATAAATGGTCTACGCAGCTGTGGGGAAGTCAAATCCGATACGTAGTGTGCAGGGGCGTTGATCGGAAAACAAGCCCATCTTAAAGGGGAGCATCTACCAGAAGCCAGGGCTCTAAGTTCTTGCATTTCAATATCAATTAATCTCTGTTTGAGCAGGAGGAGGAGGAGAGGAGGAGATTGGATTTATACCCCGCCCTTCACTTGGAGTCTCAGAGCGGCTTACAAACTCCTTTCCCTTCCCCTTCCCACAACAGACACCCTGTGAGGTAGGTCGGGCTGAGAGAGCTCTGACAGAAACTGCTCTTTTTCAAGAACAGCTCTGTCAGAACTATGGCTTGCCCAAGGTCATCCAGCCAGGTGCAAGTGGAGGAGTGGGGAATCAAACCCAGTTCTCCCAGATTAGAGTCTGTACACTTAACCACTACACCAAACACCAAGCAAAGATGTGTGTTTCAGATAAGGACATCATATCATTCAAGCATAAGCCTATTGAGACAATTTTCCTTTCTATGGCAGCAAACCATTCAAAACAATGAGACTCTTTCAGCAGATATGTAATCAGGCTATTGGGACAGTTCCTAAAATGCAAACGTAACCAAAACCTGAAAGTAATTATCCAAGCCCTTGTTTCCAAGCATATCAAATTAACTTCCAAACAAATGGCGGCATAGGGAACACACAGAGGTAACCCTAGAATTTTCCTCACAAAATTGGATTGAAGTTTGGATTGACCCAGGTTTGTCGCATTTGTGAGTTATCAAAGCTTGGAGATACGCATGTTAATGCTTCCCTGGTACACAAAGCTGCTTACAGGGCTCCATTTGTAGCAGGAACTCCTTTGCGTATTAGGCGCCACACCCCTAATGTAGCCAATCCTCCAAGAGCTTACAGTAGCCCCTGTAAGAAGAGCTCTGTAAGCTCTTGGAGGATTGACCACATTAGGGGTGTGTCGCCTAATATGCGAAGGAGTTCCTGCTACATATAGAGTCCTGCGAATGGGGAAAAAATGGGAAATGACTGAAAAGGGCAGGGGTCCCCAACCTTTTTGAGCCCGTGGGCACCTTTGAGATTCTGGCGCAATCACGAAATGGCTGCCGTGGTAGGTGGAGCCAATCACAAAATGGCTGCTGCAGGGGGGGGTGTCGGAGCCAACCACAAAACTGAGGTTATACCTAACAATAATAGTAACCCTTCGACATTTCAGGCAGAAGCTCTGTTTAACAGCCTTTTGATCTGTACAGCCAGTCCAAAGCCCTGCTGAGGAAAAGCCCCGCTTAGCTCCACCCACTTTCTAAAAGCGCCTGGCAGGTGCCAGGAAAGGTGTTAGGCATCCTGGCACCAGGGGCACCACGTTGGTGAACAGGACGAAAGTGGACTGAGAATCAGAGTTCACTTCCAGACTGCTCGCTGTCATCCTTGGAGTCACACAGAACTGTGTCTTCCTTAAATCTCCTTTCCTGGCAGAGGGATTTTTATCAGCCCGTAAGATAATCACACAACATCCCCTCTCCTCCTCCCCCCCTGCTGAATTCCAGGAAGGAGTTCCCTGCAGTAAACCTACCGCCCACCCTGCAGGTAGCAGGTGAAACCACTTCTCTAATTTTGTCTGCCTCATTTAGATCCTATCTTGCTGAACGTCGCGAAAGATATTAAACGTCGATACGAGCCGTCTGCGCTTGGTGTGACCCACTAAAAGGCTTGCGCGCTTAATTACATTTCCATACGGGGGCCCTAATTTGCAAGGTGCCTGGCAGATGAAACAGTACCCAGGCCCTGCCCTATGGCTCCCTGGCTGTGTGCGCGGAGACATGACGTGTGGGGTGAAGTGAGGATTCTGCTGAAGTCGTCAAAGGCGGCGGAACCGGGATTACACAGCTCATGTTTTGCTAAAAGGAGGAAATTAGGAGCCACGCGGTAATGTGATCGTTTGATGACTCAGTTCTCAATCACTAGAGCGAAACGCTCCCTCCCCTCGGTGGGCGCTATCAGCAATGCTTGAACTCAGCAACCTGGAGCCCACCTCCCAAGTACGATTCTTTGTCCCTGGAACTAAATTTCGCTGTTCTGCAAGCCCGTGCAGTTTTTTCAGCTTTGATATAAGCTCTTAAAGGAAAAAAAGAAAAGATTTCTTATAAGAATATAAGAAGTTGTGGGCACTCAGTGAAATTGCTGAGCAGTCGGGTTAGAACAGATAAAAGGAACTACTTCTTCACCCAAAGAGTGATTAACACATGGAATTCACTGCCACAGGAAGCGGTGGCGGCTACAAGCATGGACGGTTTCAAAAGGGAATTAGATAAGCATATGGAGCAGAAGTCCATCAGTGGCTGTTAGCCACAAGGTATAGAGAGGAACTCTCAGTCTGGGGCAAGTGATGCTCTGTCTTCTTGGTGCTTGGGGGGGTCAACAGTGGGAGGGCTTCAAATGTCCTGGCCCCACTGGTGGACCTCCTGATGGCACCTGGTATTTCTGGCCACGTTGTGACCCCTTTTGTTGGACTGATGGGCCTTTGGCCTGATCCAACACTGACATCTCTTATGTTCTTATGTTCTTATTTGGCTCTTTTGAGTTAGAATGAGAACGAACCACCAGGGAAGCGCCCTATTGGCAAGTGACTGGTTTACTTTCTCCCCAGTGGGGACGTAAAGAGGCTTACATCATCCTCCTGTCCTCCGTTTTCTCCTCACAACAACCCTGTGAGGTAGGTTAGGCTGAGAGTGTGTGACTGTCCCAAAATCACCCAGCAAGCTTACATAAAGAGGCTTACATCATCCTCCTGTCCTCCGTTTTCTCCTCACAACAACCCTGCGCCGCCGCTTATTCCAAACGCCGACTTACAGTTTTTCGCTTATCTCATAGTCCGGACTGAACTTTTGCCGCTCCCCACTCCGCTATTCCGGTGGCGTTGCTATCCCCTTCATAAGGGGCAAGGCACAGCCAGGGCCGTTTGGGGTAGGAAGGAGAGCCTCAATTCCCGACGTTCTGGTCGGCAAGAGGCTTCTCCTCAAAGCACCCCCTGGTTAGGAGCCCTCCCTGAGGGCTCCCTAGGATCTCCGCTTGCGTGGGACCCCCCCCAGGCTGTGCTTGGGCGATCCAGCTCCGGGAAACGTCCCGAGACCCGGTCGCCATTCGCGCCGCCGCGGCCAGAACACATGGCTACTCATCTTGATCTACATCCAAGCAAGGAGAGCCCACAGCATCATTGGACAACTGATTCCAACCCTGAACTGCCCTCTTTGTTAAAAAGGTTTTCCTAGTATCCCGCCGATATATCCCCATCTGTAATTTAAACCCATTATGACAAGCACCAGCCTCCAGTCCCAACTGAAACAGTTCCCAACCCTCCTCTAAACGACACCCTTCAAATACTTTAATTCATATCCCCACTCAGCCTCCTCTTCTCCAGACCAAACCTATCCCCACTCAACCTCCTCTTCTCCAGGCCTGCAAGACAGAGCTCTT